TATATATATATATATATGAGTGCCTGAACTAACAATGAGGCCGAGTCGGAGCAAAACTTATGTGTTAATTTATAGTAGTGGTGTCTTGTTTGTTGCTTAAATCTAAGTGATAGCGGCCTTAATATTTGAATTATTATTATTTTGTAAAGCATATTAATATTGAGTCTATATTGACTTTACTCCGCAATCTGTTTGGCGACATCTCTCAACTCATGCAACACTGATTCAATAACATTCGCATGGACTATTTGTCCCCTTCGTCTTCTAAGGAAAATCGCTATCTCCCTACCCTTATGGAACGCTTCACACGATGGCCATAAGTCATTCCAATGTCAAACATACAGGCAGGGACAGTTGCGAAAACTTTTGCCACTCACCATGTTTCAAAGTTTGGCACACCGTCAATGATCACAACCGACAGGGGTAAGCAGTTCGAATCCGATCTTTTCGCTCAACTATCCAGATTATTAGGGACGAAGAGGAGTCACGCGTGCGCCCACCACTCGCAAGCTAACGGTTTGGTAGAACGCTTTTATCGTCAGCTAAAAGCCTGTCTAAGATGCCAGAGGAACTCGGACAAGTGGGCAGATAATTTGCCTTTAGTCCTGTTGAGCTTGTGGACCACAGTCAAAGCGGAAACCGATTGCAATCCAGCAGAAATGACTCACAGATGTCAACTACCATTTCCAAATGATTTTGTTGCCCCTACTAACATTGGAGAATCATCTGCTGGTTACGTTAGAAATTTGACCAATACGATGGATAAACAAGGCAGCATATCTTTCAGACCAACTACCTGCGAGTCGGAAGTGCCTAATCGTATGATTTTCAAATACGTCTGCATCATAAATGACCGAGTATTGCCACCACTATCCGCACTATGCATTGGCTTTTTCGCGTCATCTCTAGAGACAACAAACATTTTACTTTAAAATAGAAGGCCATCGTGAAGTGGTAAGCATAAACAGACTCAATCCTGCAAAAATTGACCAGTTATAAGACATCATTATAACACAGAATACGCAGAGCAAACCAATATTGAGGAGAACAATAACACAGCCCAGATATCCTATGCAGCTGAAAAAAGGATCCATTTTGCGTTGGGAGCCTAATGCAACTCATTTGTTTTTTTTGAACCTATACCTTTCGGGTTAGTCTCCGGTTGGGACTATCATAGTGGCTTTAATAAACAATCAGTTTAGCTACATCTATCAAATCATGCAGCATTTGGTGGAGCACGGCTAATCGGCACTGTGTCCTGCGGGAACTGAGTGAAACGAGTCACCACATCAAGCCAATCAGAACGTGACATTAAAAGTACTCAAGCGTATTGACTGCAACTTGCCCTGTCGCCCGACCGGTCAGCTGTCGTTACCCTGTGGTGCAACGTTTCTGACTGTCACCAACAGGACACCCTGTCGTAGTCTGTGTTTTTCCCACGTTGAGAGATTTTCGCCTGTAACTCCGTCTTACCTACAATACACTACGTGACTCATTTTTCTTCCCCACTACAAGGATGTGGTATTCTATACGTTAGCAAACAGCCGAGTATATATTTCATGGTGAAAATTTTCTGATACGCAACAAGTCTCTGCAAAGCTTTAGATTAGGATTATTTCTAAACATTTCACAACATTCACGTTTTTTTCTTTATCTTAGCCTTTCCTTTAATTTGATTATTTGATTCCAGCAAGTCAGCCGACGCTCAAATCGTATAATCAAGGCGCCTAAGCGGCCTTATGATGACTTCGAACAGACCCTGCATCTTGATAGTGAACTGGCCGAGGATGAACCTGGTGACCACAACGATTCTCCATCTGAGTTTTCCTTTGATGCAGGAAATACCGCCCTGTCCAGTCGCTTGCGCCAGGATAGGGAGCGTCGTGGTGGTGACCACCAAGCAGTTCGCCGGCGACGCCATAGACGCCACTTGCTTGAAGGCGAAGGCTTGGCTGGAGTAGAAACACTAGATACTAGTGAAGAGGAAACCAAGGAACGTGCAGTTGGTCACAGAAGGTCCTCTCTCAAGCGACCCACCGGGGATATGTCTCTTAGCCTCACAAGGTGAAAAAATTTACATTTGCTATATGGCTGGGCAGTATTCTTGATGCATATACAGCGGAATAACCAATAGCACAGTAGCATTAATCAAAAATTCTTTGCTAGAATAGAAATGTCAAAATTTTATGTTTGTAGACAAGAGACACTATCTTCAAGAGATCGTATATATGAAGACCAAGATCACATGGTCTTGTGTTTGATCACAGTCTCCTTTAGCTATATAGTCTTTGCCTGACCTCGTTTTCGCATCTTGGTCGTAGTGACAAGGATACCTTGTGAAACGTACTTAGTCCTGCATCCTCTATCCTAGTGTTCATGATGATTTTCAGCATAGTGCCGTTAACTTGATACATTCCCAGATGTTTTCCCGGCAATCCCTTTGTCTGATTTACTGTTCTACCCTTGTGGCATCACTCCTCGGTCCTATTTGTTGGCATAGCTTCTATTGTTGCATCTTTTTTCTCTTAGTCCTGCTTTATACTATTGGGTTGACCTCGTTTTCGCAATTTGGTCTTTTCAGGGCGACTTAGTTAAACACCTCTTGTCAGAAGTCCCAGTATTAGACTGTGGACTTGGTACATGCTCATACGTATCGAGAACAACACCATCTTTGTCTTCTTATCTCCCCTTTATATTGTATACATGACTAACCACGTCTATTTGTGTTCTCTTTGCCTCTAGTGTGGCTTCAAGTGGATTCAGTGAAGCATAATCACGGTTCGAGATGCCGTTCGCATGGCGTCTGACTTTCCTTTAGCCCTCATCCACACTGCTTGTCGTTCACTGCTACACATGGATGCCACTATTTGGCTATCTGAAACCTGACGAGTCTTTTCTTGTCTTAGTTCTGATGATAGTCACTTCTGTGTACTTTTAGCTAACTCTCTCTCTCTCATTGAGACCAAAAACAAAAAATAGGCTCATCAACAAAACCAGACGTGTGTCCGACCTTGCGCAATCGGAGTGATGATTATAACTTAAATGTATAAAAGGGGAGATAGGGGTCATCAAACCTTGATGGCCAAAAACAGATGTTCCTTTTTGCTGTCCTAATTACTTTGAGCCATCACTGCAGGTTTCGTGCATTTAGCGAACACAAACAGGCACATATACATTCAGAGACAGACACACTCACATGCATCAAAGTTGACATATAACCTTAACTAACCAAATCACTTTATCGAAGTTATGAAGACCAAGATGGTGTAGTCTTTTGTGTGGTCTCAGTCTCCTTTCGTTGTATAGAGGTTGTTTGACCTTGTTTTCGCAACATGGTCA